CTATGTGGTCAATTTTGGAATAAGTGCGATGTGGTGCTGAGAAGAATGTATATTCTGTTGATTTGGGGTGGAGAGTTCTGTAGATGTCTATTAGGTCCGCTTGGTGCAGAGTTGAGTTCAATTCCTGGATATCCTTGTTGACTTTCTGTCTTGTCGATCTGTCTAATGTTGACAGTGGGGTGTTAAAGTGTCCCATTATTATTGTATGGGAGTCTAAGTCTCTTTGTAAGTCTCTAAGGACTTGCTTTATGAATCTGGGTGCTCCTGTGTTGGGTGAATATATATTTAGGATAGTTAGTTCTTCCTGATGAATTGATCCCTTTACCATTATGTAATGGCCTTCTTTGTCTCTTCTTTGATGTCTCTTCTTTGATGGTTTAAAGTTTGTTTTATCAGAGACTAGGATTGCAACCCTTGCTTTTTTTTTTGTTTTCCATTTGCTTGGTAGATCTTTTTCTTTGTTTATCTAAAGAATCACACATCTAAGTGCTGAAGAGGACTTCAGGGGTCGCCTGGTCTAATCTCCACCCCACCAATGAGAAAACTAGTCCAGAGGAGTCCAGGGCTTGCCTGCGTCTGAGATGACCCTGGAGCCGACTGTTGGCACTGGGGCTAAATGGTCAGCACCTTTGGGTCACTGTTCACCTTTGAGAACCCACTTCCTAACAGGATCTGCGGGGTGGTGAGAGCTCGATAAGCACCCATTCCAAGATGTCTACTGAAGGCTGAGTGCCAAGTGGATGGAGTAGAAGAAGAATAGGCTCCCTATTCACACCTGAGAATGCTGGGAGGTTAAAGAACCCCGACACCCCCAGACCAGTGCCCCCAGAAATCAGGGCTCACCTTGGCCTTCCGCAGCACATGTCCTCGGCAGGGGGAGCTGCCCGGGGCCACCTGGCTCTTCTTCAGGACAGCCGCGCTGTTCACCGGCACGGGGCCCTCGGTGTCACTGGTGTCACAGCTGGAGATAGGCGAGTTCTCCAGGGTCCGGTGCCTGAACACTGGAGACTTAACAGAGAGAGAACCCCATGTGAGGAGTGGTTTCTAGGCCACTGGTATTATCCAGCAGGAAAATGATTTATTTCAAGGAAGAAGTAAGTTTTGGAAATGGGCAAAAATCGCAGCAGCAGGAAGGACTGCCAGGCAGTCAGTGCCTCACCCCCAGAGCCCCTCCCAATGTTCACAGCCAGGGGGCAGAGGCTCTGAGGGGCTGGTGGAGGCTCCAAGGGGGGCTCCGACTCCCAGCCATGCCTGGGAAGCGGTGAGGGTGGGATTCCTGCCTGAATCTTTTGCACTCAAAGTGAGGCTCTTCCACGCAGGCTAGTCAGTCCCTTTGTGCAGGGCTTTATGGTTTTCAGAGCTTTTCTGGGGTGAGTGTCCTAGAGATGTTGAAGTCGCAGAAAGCGCCGGCACTTGGGGCAGAACTGGCTCCCGGGATGCAGCCCCATGGAGTGGGGCTCGCAGGAGAAAAGCAGGCTCCATAAGCACAGAGGCCTTCCGAGTGTTTACGGCAGCTTCCATATGCCAAAGGAGGAGGTGTTCAGGAAGACTCAAAATAGAACAACATGTGTCCTGAGCTGCCAAGGCCCCCATCGCTGGCTCTTCCATATGGGATCCCAAACTGCTCTCTGGGAAAAAAATGCCACAGACTGCTGAGCCTTCTCTCAAATGAAGTCTCCAAGGAAGAGACGCTTCCTAGGATTCCTGCCAAAATGTGTTATGTAAAAAATATTGCTCAGGGTATATGGCACGCTGTTTTAGAACAGTGTTTCAATTACCGTGAAAATGGGCAGCTCAGGGTCCCCTGTGGGCTTTACTGACCACAACCCTCAGGCAGCCAACTTGACTTACGCGGTGGCAGTCCCTGGCTGCCAGGGAGGAAGCCTGGGTAGTGGTGAGTGAACACAATGGAATGATGATGAGGACATCTCTGTCGGGCAGAGGCCAGGCCAGGCTGTGAGTAAAAGGGGCAGGTGACCTGAAGACCTGCATCTCGAGAGGGGTCCACCGAACAAGCCACTCTCCCGAGGACATGGTCTGAGCAGCAGCGGTGCAGAGTGCTTCCCCAGGGGCTGGGACAGAGGACGGCACCAACGACATCCGCCCTCAAAAGAGAGGGGAAGTCGCAAAGCACGGTGGACTGGGACGGGGGAAGCGGAGGTGGCAAGCCAGGCCCAGGCCCCCACAGGATACTTGGGCCAAAGGAAAAGTGAGGGGGGTGGCGAGGCAGGAGCAGGAAAAGGGGCCCGAGGGAAGCTCGGGTGATGGGGTGGAAGAACGTGGAGCCACCACAGAAGACAGTGGGCAGCTGTGCCGAAGGGCACCGGATCGGGGAGTGAGGACTAACATGTCTGCTGGAGGGGAATGCCAGGGGTCACCATGACGAAAACAGGTGCAATGAGAAGTCACACTCGGAAAGTGGAGGTGTCGGGGGGCAGAGGACACTGCAAGCATGGACAACTGCTTCCAAAGCTCACCTTGGAAGGAAAGGCAAGAACACAGGGCAAGGGGACAGTCGCCAGGGGGAGCAGGAGGCCAGGCGGAACCTTCTTTTTTTAAGGATGGATTCAACTAGAGAATCCTTAAATGCTTGGAAGAAGCTGACAGAAAAGCTGAAGATACAGGAGAAGGCTCCTCCCAGGTGTCTGGAAGTCAGGAAGGGTCGGATCGAGGCACTGACCAGAGTCCAGGAAGCCCAGCCCCTCCACTCAAACAGGACCAGAGGACAGGGGTGGGACAGCTCCTCAGAGCATCCTGCACTGCCACCACCCTCCACGCAGGACACAGGACAAGCAGCACAGGGGACTGTGTGTACTCCTGCCTCAGATCACCACAGACGGAGGGGCACAGAGCTCCATGAAGCAGGCGAAGACCCCTGCCCTCTCCCAGCCAATGCCCACAGCCTCACTGCCACCCTCACTGCACCTGACCCCACTATGCTCTTGTCCCCATTTCTGCTGGATGAGGGGCTAGGGACACCCAAGGCACCTCCTGGTCCTTGGATTCCAATTCCCCCTGCACCCCTCCTCCTCAGCCCTGCTTCACTGTTGCCACAGATCTGTCTGCATCTGACACCAATGTATTTTATTGGTTTGCCTCCCTCACGAGAACATAAGCTCCATGAAACGGGGATTCTCACCTATCTTGTTCACAACTGCAGGCCTGGAGTAGTTTGTAGCACACAGAGGGAGAACAGAACATGGGCTGGGCACCGTGGCCCCCGCCGGTAACCACAGCGACTCAAGAGGTGAGGTGGGAGGAGCACTTGAGCCCAGGAGTTCAAGAAGGATCACAGCATATGCGTATGTGTGTACACACACCTTTATATATTAAATAGTATGTATCTCGCATAATTGTATTTCATATATAATATATAAATAATTGTTGAATTGATATGATTTTATGTAATACATAATGTATATAATGATATCAACAAGCAATTGTTGGATGAGTGGAATGAATGAGTGCAGGCATGTATACGTTTGGGAAGACGTGAACGAACACACGTGCTCCGTTGAGCACTGTGCCAAAAGCCTCGGCACACACAGTCCTGCGCAGCGGCCATTATTATTTCCTCCATTTTACAGATGAAAAACTCAGGGCCTAGAGAAGTCCAGTGATTTTAAGCCCTGGTCTGTGTGACCCCAGAGCCGCCTCTTGAACACCCGAAGGAACAGTGCACGAGTGGCTGGGTTTGTGGTTTGAGGACAGAGCAGTGACCTCGCTGCTTGCTCAGCTCTGCAGGCAGGAGGCAGGTTGTCCTCTGGGTTGGAGGTGATGGCTGGGGTGCCACAGGAGACTGGTGCAGGGATGGGGGGCTTGTAAGAGAAGGGGAGAGTAAGGAAGAGCAGGCCGTACAGGGGGTGCCCAGCAGGGGCCAGCAGGTGACTGAAACTCAGGGCTGTTGTCAACCTATAAACGTGTCAGTCTTCCCCACAAACCCACCCAAGGCTCACGTGGAGCAGCGGTGGGTTCAACCAGGCTCAGCGTTTTACCAGGGGGTTGGGAAAGAAGGACCTAGAAGGGAAGCATTCAGGATGCAGTGGGTGGAGACCCAGGGGCGCCCGCGGTGTTTCGGCTAGGACAGGGGCTGAAGTCCGGCCGTCCCTCACCGGCTGCCTGTTCTGTCTGCCCTGCAGGTGTGTTTACTCCTCTGGGCCCAGTGCCTCCCTCACTCAGTGGAAGTGACGGCATCCAACTCACAAGACAGGAGACTCAACAGAACGACCAAGTGGAGAAGACATCTAAGTTCTCAGCGACCTCGCCGGATCAGTGAAGAGGAACCAGGGACGGGGAAGACTCACGAGGGAAGAGGAGAGCGCCTTGTTCTGTTCGAGTCTAAGAGGACACAGACCGCGCCATTCACTTCAGTTTCCCCAGCACCTGGCTTAACTCTCAGACATGCTCGACGGTCTGTAAGGACTGGCTACCTAATGAACTGGTGTCAAATTAGGACCTGGTTCAGAAGAGACATGAGGACTGGATCTGTTCTAAACAGATGGTGCAAAGGGGAAAGGCACAGACTCCGTGTTTCCATGCCTTTTAACATTTCAGCGAGAGGTAAGAAAGCATGTCGGGAACACACGCCCGGCTGATGAAAGTGTCTGATGCTAACACATGAACTGTCTTCTGCTGGGCAGGCTAAGGGGCCACAAGCAAGCTACGCCCCAGAGCCACTCCACATTCTCTCTGGGTGCACCGGCTCTTGGTCATGCGAGGCCGCGCCAGCCTCCAAGGTGAGCCAGAAGGACACACACCTGTGGATTCGATGTTCCTGACTTGGGCTCGATGGCCAGCCCCAGGGTGACTCCGCCTGCCAGTGCTTTCTTCAGGCTCTCCTTGACCTCCGTCAGCTCCAGCTCCAGGCTGACGCGCTCCGCCTCCTTCTGCCGGCACTCCTCCTCCAGCTGCTTCAGCTTCTCCTCCAGAATCGCCTGTGGCTTCCTGCCTGGAATTCCCAGAAACGCCCTTACTCCCGCGGCCGGCACAGGCTCTCCAAACAACAGAGAAGGCACCTGCTCCCCGAAAAGAACTTCCACAAAGTGTCTGAGGTTGAGCTCCCCTGACTTCGGTCCTCGTTGCAAAACTTAAATTCAGCAGTTCTCTAAGGGAGCAGAGTCCTTCTCCAGCCACTTCCCTTTGCTGCAGCTGTGAGGACTGGGACCAGGCAACGGGAGACGCTGATTCTCACCAAGGCTGGGAGCTCCTGGCTCTGGGACTCAATGTACTCATTTTGAAACGTGGACCCTAAACTCCACAGTTCCTGAAGCTGCCACTGCATTGGGGTGTGAACCCCGTCCTTCCCTAACGCTCCACCGATCCCTCAGTCATCTTATTTGCCCCCGAGGCAATGAACAGTAGCACAGCTGGCATCTCTACTGGACATGGCACACGTTTCTTTAAGGAACGTTCACTTATTTTATTTGAGGTTTGCTGCAGTGACCTAAGACGCACCCACTGGACAGATGACAACATCAATCCTAAGAGGTGAACAGACTTGTGCCCAGGGCCTGGGCCAGTGCTGGCCAGCAGGCGAGGTTCTCTTTTTCAAAGCCAAAAGCACCCCTGGCCTTCCTGCATCTTCACTATCCTGCAGGCTTGGAACACTAACCCACTCTTACTAACCCACTCTCACCC